GGCTTATCCGTAACAATAGTGCCATGAACATTCGCTTGGCATCATAAATAAGACGGTAAAAGAGAATTTAAAAGTCATTACAATTCACAGCATCAGATTCTTGCATGTTATACAGGTACTTATACTGGGCACAATGATTTTAGAAGAATTTTGGCCATGTCAAGGAATATAATACATAGGATTCGGAAGCTTGAAGGAGCGATTTGACATGAAGGATCCCAATAAATCACTCCATTGATCTCCGGAGTTTCCGAGAATCCTATATCCCTCTTTCACCATCTCACTTCTCTTATCCGACTTGAATATTGTTGCCAATTTCCCATGATCCTCGGATCCCCTGATGAACACAAAGAAGAAGACTTCAATAGGCTATAGGCAAAAGCACAGTAATTTACTCGAGTTATTACAGAGCCGACGCTAAAAAAGTAGTGCATGCTTGTTCTTCGTGATAGAAATTTCAACGCGTCTCATGATTTAAACGAAGAACAGGAAGGGAGGAGAATTAACATGAAAATGTCAAGCTATCAGTACGGAAATCTCTATGATGAGTCATCGAAGGTTCTTCATCCTTCTCTGTTTGTCGTTGATGATTAAACATGAAAAAATCATGCACATACACAATCATTATTTCAAGTTCCTAGCAGAAAACAAAACACTGATGAAGCTCACATGGATAATAATTGCAATGGGAGTCTCTGCTATGTAGCTCACTGTTCATCAATAAAGTTGCCAGTTCATTAGCCTAAGATTATCCCACAGAATTTGGCGCCTTTACCAGTTAGTGAACTACATTAGCCCTAGAAATGACAAAAAGGCAGCCTGGATCATAAAATTCACAATTTTAGGCTTGTTGGTTTGCTTCAAAAGTGGTTTCTTGTTTTCAGACAAGCCTGCAGTCCAGATCTTTTAAAACACATTGCAAGATACCTCTCTTGTAAGGGTATCACTTGAGTGTTCTAGCAAAAAGAGAAGCATTTTTCATTATTATCCTTGGATATGTTGCGAGATTTCTCCTCCAACATATAATGGACTGCTAACATGGCCTCCCTTGGAAAGATTCAATCCTTCCATAACCAATTAATCCACATATACTTATGCATCGGTGTACCAGTCGAAATACGGTAACATATGAACAAACTGGCAGAAGGCGGCAAATTGAGGCAACATCCATATCCATTCACACTTACAACACATGCATACCAATCAAAGTTACCATTTTGGCAGTCACAAAAGGCCTCCATACTCACCTCAAAATAAGCTTATCCCAATTCTGAAACCCTGCATTGATCAAGTTCTCCTCTGTCACGCTCCTTTGCATCTCGCTGCGTCCAGTCAGCAAGAAAACCTTGAAGCCCAGACCCATGACCTCCTTATAGAGCTTCAAACTAGGCTCAAGAGCAGGTGCGATAGCCTTGTCAACCCACTTATTAAACTCCGCTGGATCAAATCTCTCCAAGCTGCAAAAGCACACCACTACTTTCTTAGAAAACTCTACATTAGTTAGCTATCTGTTGCAAGAAAAGACCCCACAACAGAGAATCAAAACACGATGACTAAAAAAGCTACTAATCCAGTCAACCTGACCCTTACTAGTTACACCTAGTCTGGATCCTAAGGTGCCACCAATAAATCGAAAGAAAATTTCTTAAAAATCAAGTGCTCTACCATATTAGGTATCCAAACACTAATTATATCGATTAGACCTCATTCATTTTTTTAGATTTATTGCTTTCTCAAGTCCTACACTATCCAAATCGCACCAACCAAACGGGATTCAAAAAGAATTCCATAAAACTATCCAAAAACCCAAGTCATTCATGTTCATACAACTTTCTCAACATCCAAACAAGTACTCAACAACACTAAAGCAAAAATCCAAAACCCAAAATGAAAAGAAAAATAAAAGGAAACTTACCCGTAACCATGATCAGCATAATAAGGCAGATGAGAGAGCAAAGTCTCATCAACATCAAAAACCCAAATATCTTTCCCATCACCACTCAATTTCAAACTCTTTGCATAAACCCCAGCTTCATTAGACACCCTTTCTAAATCCAAACTATAAGCTCTTCCAAGCATGTAATCTTTCACATACTCTCCACACTCCAGGGGAACTGTTTTCCATGGATTCAAATTATTAGCTTCAACACCAAATCTCCAGCTTGTACATTGCAATTTGACTTCATTGTCAGCTTCCCTCAACTGGGTTGTTTCTAAAATCAAGGGTCTTGGAAGAATGTGAGAATTGAATTGCTCATTGCATAAAACAAGAGAAAAAAAGAAACCAAAAAGGAAAAGTCTTGGTAAAATCATTGCTGGATTTGATCAAATCAAGAAAAGACAATTTGAAGGGCTGTTTTGTGAAATAGAATTGGATTTATAAACAGTGAAAAGTCTGAGTCTTTTGAGGAATTGAATTGATGGTCTGTTTTGGGTTTAGCTTCTGAAACATAAAGTTGATGTCTTTTCCTTTTTCTTTTATTAAGGTTTTGTTTCGAGGTAAGGAAAAAGATTGCTTCTTTTTGGATAGAAGGTAAGAGAGAGAAAGCTGTGGAGCAAAAGGAAACCCAACAGGAACAGTAATCTCTCAGAATTTTGGTTGGTCGGTGGCGTGAGGTGGGAAGACAGCTTTGTTGGCTTTTGAATATTCGGGTTTTTGCAGTTTTGGAAGGTTTTTTATGTTGTTTTCTTGGCTGTTGGATATGGAGGGAAAGGTTGGGGAAGCCAGTGGGTTTGGGTTTCATGTGATGTGGTGTTGCTTACGTGGCAGTGTGTGATTGGGTAGAATACGAAAAACACGGGACCTATTTAATGGAGAATTTAATATTGTCGGAGAGCTTCTCCCGGCTGCAGTTGCATCCACATTTCCAAACCAATATCTATAGTTTATTATAAACAATTGATTATTCTTTATAGTTTCATAAACTATGTATTTAATCCTCTGATTGTGGATCCATTCATAACTTAATCCTTTTCATTCTTCTCATTCTTTTTTTTTTTTTCATTTTTTAAGAAACATAAAAAAAATAAAATATGAAAATAATATGAAAAAAAATATATAAGAAAAGAAGATATTTTTTTGAAAAAAAATTTGTCATTACTAATTAACAGACTAATTAATTTGTTTTCAAAACTAAATATGTTTTTTTCAAAACTATAAAAAATGGTTTATAATTTAAGTTTGGTTTAGTAAAACGGTAAAAATCATGTTTTATATTATAAAAATAATTAATTTAATATTTTTTTATAATATAAAATTAAATTTTAACACAAATCAAACATATTCTTGCTTCTTAGTTGTTAGTGATGGTCCAAAATCTAAAGTGTTGAAGAATAAAATTGATATATTAAATAATTAATTAATTTTTTAATTTAAGTAATTTGTTGTGTTTTTTTTGGCTAAGATATATAACAGTTTGATATAAAAAATATAGATGGCTGGTAATAATATGTGATACATGATAAATGATAACGACTAATAGCTAATATTCACAAAAAGTCTAATTTAAAAGGCATAACTTTTTAATAATAAAATCAATAATTTATAAAAAAAAATATAATAATATTTTAAAGAGATATACTATAAAAATATTAAGAATTAAGAGGTGATGAATCTTAAATTTGAAGAATTTATGATATACTTATAATCTATTAATTATTTTTTTTATAGGGAAGAGGAGCTAAAATATAATTTTATTTTTATAATATTTTAAATTATATTTTACCAAAAATAACACATATTTTACCAATAAAAAAACTTTAAAAGACCCGTATAGAGTTGAGGAAAAATTCTATATGGATCCAATTAATTTTACATTACCCTATAAAATTAGATGCTGACACATACAACACCCCTAATTAAATGGGTGCAGGCGTTACGCCTGGACCCCATAATTGTGGTGGGGCACACTAAACTCAATTAAATGGACCATCAAGCCTAGATGGTGTGGAAGGCCTATCAATTATAAAGCATATAGAGTTTTTACTTCGTACATTCAACAAGAAAGCTCATGGCAATAAGAGAAAAGCAAGCTGATTGTGATGTGTTTGGGTGCAAAGATGTTTTAAGAGAGAGGTCATTCTTGGTGTGGAGAGGCAGCCGAAGCTAAATGGTTGGAAGATGAACACAAGAAGAAGGAATTCCCTGGAATCAAAATGATGCTTTTGTTAGCATCGCAGCCCCACCGGCATTCCCAACCATCCCTGGATCGTCATTAAAGCGGTGGTGCCCGAATCTTCCTCCAAATCCTGTCCAAATTTGGTGTGAGATGCAAAATAAGTTCCATCAACGGCTGTACAGAAGTGAGCTAGATTTTGAGAACGATGATTGTTGAGGCATTTACAAGAGCTTGGTATCAATGTCGAACCGCATCCTTCACCGATTACATTCAAGAACCCTTATCGATTGACCATTTTTAACAAATATCATATTGATTTACATTGTTCCCGGAGAGGGTTCTATGGGGTCAGTCGACAATTGAACACATAACCCAGTTTTCAATTTAGAGTGGGAAAGCCGAACCAATTATCATAGTTGTCAAACTCAATCCATAATGGACTCAGAAAAAGCATGGGTCACTGTGTTACCAAGTTAACCCGTTGATTTCTTTTTCTTGGTGTTGATGCAGACTCGATTAGGTCCACTAGATCACTAAAAACCTAGTTGAGCCAAATGGATTTTATAAAGTTAATTTCCAGTTCAACTAGTAGAAATTCAATCCGAATAGTGAATTTCTCCGATCAACCCATCATACCACAAGATTGATCATTTATGTGATGCAAGAGGATTTTTAATGAAATTCTTTTTCTTGGTTATTATTATTTCCCATTTAATTTAGTAGAATATTTTCATTTATGGTGTTTAACTTTTTTTCTATTTTTTTTTAAATCAAATATTAAGATTGATCATTTTATTTTTCTTTTTTAGCTCAAAAATCCCTAAAATAACTGTATTTTGAACTGCTTTATTTTGCATTCGTGTAAATATTTAAGCTTGGATATAATGAAACAAGATTGGCATATGATCCATTAATTGTTGCTATGGCCAAAGTGAAATAATCAAATAATATTACACTTTCAATATCCTTATTAATAGCTTTCAGCAAACTACTATCGAGACAACTCAAATAACTGCACACATTGTCATTGCAGTCTGAATTTTACGTGCAACTGTGGCAACTTATCTATATACTTACATTACTCTATATCAGAAGCTCTACCGATGACATTTACATGGGAAACAAATGGTTTTTTAAAAGGGATTCTAAAAGCAATCATTCTGTGTTAACCTGAAGAATGAATGTGGAGGGTGTCCGATTGGGTTTTGGACTTCCACTCCATTATAGCAGATAGAAGCGTGTAACTGGGTAAGAGATCCTTATTTGGCAATGGCAAATTCGTCATTGGTGACTTGTCATTCTCTTCAAGCCACTTCTGTATTGCTTTGCGGTTGTAAGTGTAACCGTCAGCCGCAACGCAGGGATCATCCATTAAATCCTGTAAAAGAAACAACATAAGACTAGCCATTCTGCACACAGTTTCCCGTGTCAATCTCCTCTGTTTTTACTTGAATAATAAGCATGTGGGAACATATACCTTAAGTATTGGGCAGATTAAGTGCTTAGGAGGTGTCAATTGTAGACTGGAAACTGAATCTCGGGCCCTTCGAGCAACCTCATTCAATCTCTCCAAAGCAGGAAGTACTACATCTTTCAGATCAGGTCGGTCTTTCTGTCGTATCTCTGTACAGCTTAGTCCCAATGTAGCCAATTCTTTTGTCTCTTCCAATGGCCAGTTCCCGGCCTCTGAATCCAAAATCTCCACCAAATGACCCTCCTCCATTGCAGTTTCCATCACATGTGCTAATGCTATAGCTGGTTTTGCAGTCAGCAACTGCAAAATTATCATCCCAAAAGCATAAGCATCGGATTTTGGAGAAATCACCCCATTTCTTTGATACTCGGGATCTATGTAGCATAACGTCCCAACAGGTCCTGTGTTTTTGTACATGGTGGATAAAGAAGAAACATCTGAACAAAGCATTGTTGAAAGGCCAACATCACCAATCTTGCTCACAAAGTTATGATCAAGTAAGATGTTGGCTGGTTTCAGATCACGGTGAATAATTGGCTTTGGCTTGGAGCTGTGAAGAAAAACAAGCGCCGAGGCTATTTCCCAAGCAATTCGATACCTCTCAAACCATGGGATAGGGGGTGTATTGTTCACCCTCTGCAGTCTATCCTCCAAGCTCCCATTCTTCATATACTCATAAACAAGGCAACCATGATCAGGACAAGCGCCAAGAAGCATGAGTAAGTGTGGATGGTGAATTTTACTCAAGATCTCAAGCTGAAATCAATAGGAAGCACAGTAAGTATTTACTTGAATTATCAGTCAAGTACAATCATAGAGAGTGAATTCCCAAGCGTATAACAGGGAAGCTGAAACTAAAAGATGTTTGTGCATGCCATTTGGCAAAACAAATTGCCTTGTTTTGCAGGTGACGAGGTGGAAATGCCTCCACAATACATTGACTAAACTTTTAGGGAAAAAAAGAAAGATGGTTGTCACTAAAATGCTTATGAATGAAACATTTTAAAATGTAGATTTGTTCGAGTATTTGTGAAGTTTACAGTTTTAATTAATTTCAACAACTTGCATACCTCCTGCTGGAATTGCTTAGAATTTTTGTCCTCTTTTGAATGAAGAACTTTCACTGCTGTGGTTGTATGGTGCAAATTGCATTTATAAACAGTTCCGTATGCTCCCATTCCAATCTTGAGCTCTTCTGAGAACGATAAGGTACCAGAAACAATCTCTTCCCATGTGATCTCCTGGTATTGCTGCACAGAACCAGCAATAGCTTTCTCAAGCTTTTCCTTTTCTTTGGCGTCGTGCATGGCTTTAATTTCTGCTTCATTCCTTTGTGAAGCTTCTCTTTTGGCACACTCCCTTAGACATTCAGCTTTCCGGATTGCAACTTCACATCTTCCCCTCTCTTGCCTTGCCAGTTCCCTGGCTTTTTCCTCTTTATGTTTTATTTCCTGGAGTCTTGTTGCTTCTTCCAACCGATGTTTAGTAAGATCATTCAACTGAGAAAAATAGTAGCTGAAGCTCATTAATCTAAATAAATAAATTAAAAAAAGAAGAAGATAGAATTGATTTGCAACTGTAGAAACAGAACAGATCTTAGTGGAATTTTTATAGGAAGTCATTATTGATTAGACTATATCCAAGGTCAATTCTTTGAAAAGAGCTCAATGAGTTTTTCTTTAGAATTCTGATAGCTTCTGAAGATATTGTTAATACTGTAGCAGTCATTTTGTCAGGAAGACTGTAGTAGAAGAGAAATAATATGAACAGCCAAAAAAAATTAGCGGTCACCCATTTACACTCGCTAAATTTGGTAGACGTTGCTGAAATTACATCAGCAATTGGCTAGCAGAATCATCACAGAAAGAAACCAATACATTTTCTCATACTAACCTTTCGAGAAGCATCTAATGTCTCACTTTGAGCTACTGCATATATTCCTCGAGCATGTCTTAGTTCAATCCTCAGCTTTTCTAGCTCAAAGTTGATATTTGCCTGCATGAAAGATTGCAAAGGAAAACATAAGGTGGGGTGGGGCATTTAGATCTCACATTCACTTCCGAGTACCACACCAAAGGCTACAAGTCTACAACCATATTGTCATTGCTGAAGCACTGGCATACAACTGAACTGTTGCTTCAAAAGAGTACTATTTTTTATGATCAACACGTGAGCTTTCCTAATGAATATAGCACATTCTCCTGAAACATCAGTTCTTTAAGAACAACATATATTTGGCAGAGACTATTCAAGTGCTGCAGATTTTCAAGAAATTTATGGTGCTGTACAGATTTCAATAAGCTTGCATGAAGAAGTTGAACCTTTATATTTACACACAGTTCTGTATAATTATGATAGAATGTCAAAGCTATTTTAAATAGAAGATTTCACTACTAGCAGGTGAGGATTTTGCAAATAAATGATGCCAAAGAACACCTCAAATAAATGTCTTGCAAGCACCAGAAGACCAAAACAAAAAAAAAAATATGCAAAACTACCTGGCTGTCAAATGAGGAAAAAAAAAATGCAAAACTACCTGGCTGTCAAATGAGGAACAATCTGTAAGCACATCTGAGGTTGGAGCTTGATCAGATCTCCATGACGGGTGATCAGTTGACAAGCTTTTGAAGCTAGAACTCTGAGTGACTGGGTGTTCTATTTCTGAAATACTTGGACAAGAACTCCCTATAACCTTTTCTTCAAAATCCAGAGACAGGCTTCTTGACGGATTTGTCTCACAGGAATTTGTTCTGGTATAAAGAAAGCCATGGTTTATAGATGAAAGAGCTTGAAATCGCTGAACTGGCAGGGATGGAGATTGGAAATGAGAGAATGGAGAAACTGAGTTGGAACCTGCATATTCAAGAAACAGAGGAAGAGATGGATTAAAAACTTGTTTCTACACAATTTTCTGGGCAAATTTTGCAGCGTGGACAGTCCTAGGCATGGACAGTAGAAACCACAAGGCAAGGGCAGTGCTAAGTCCATGAGACGAACTCATATATCAGTTATTCTCCACAAATTACTCATTCATGCTTGTGGTCATAAGTGGATGGACCTCAAATCTTCATTACAACCGTAGATTACCTGTTTGAGAGCTCGAATTAGAACTTGATGAGGAGTTAGTAGTACGACTGGTGATACTGCCACCATCTCTAAAGCTTCCACTTGTCTCTAAATCAGATGGACGAATAGATAGCAGTTTTCCTTTTGAAACAGCATAGACTGTGCAAGTATTTGGAGCGCAAACCGAGATTCTTGAGGACAGATTATTTCCCTTATGTTTCCTGAAAAGATTATCATGCTAATAAGTAACCAGTGCATGTGAAAAAAAATAAAAAGCTATATTAGAGCATCTGAGGCCTGGATCATTTTCCCTAATCAAGTCACCAGTGATCCAAAAGCTAATGGGTATTCTTGATATCCTAGAATATGCATTGATTTATTAGTCTTTCAAGCATTCATGTTTAGATAACGAACATCTGATAACTTAATGTCACTTCTGAAACCATGGGCATACCTTGTAAACATGCGATGAGAAGCTGCTCCTATAACAAGTTTATTGATATTGCACCTGGCAACCTCCTCCGCAATTGCCTTCGCCACATCATCCAATTCAATTAACACAATATCTACTTGTACCTGTGTTGAAATTGAAGTGCATTTTAAGGTCAGAATTCCCAGGATCACTTCATGAACTTTATTTGACTACAAACAGTCTTGCAAGGAACAAGACTTGACCTTTTTCCTGGTACAAATACTCTTGAAAGGGAGAAGCATTTGGAGTGTCTGCCACTCCTTTTCCTTCTTATAAGCTGCTGCTACATCATCTCGTACTTGTGATATAGGAATAAAATTCCCCACTGGAAGGTATACAAAATCAGATGGCAAGAGAAGAGAGTTTAGTTTTCATTAATTATCAAGCTTCTTGATGATTGAAAGCATTATTTTTTCAAATCTGTTAAATTGTGTTCTCCTTTTGAAAATAACCATCAAATGCAACACCGGCATTGTCTTCCCCTATATTTCAACACCAACACAATAATCTTTCATAAACCAGATCTACAAGCATTTTGGTGAAGAAACTAGCATCAAACAACAATTAGTTAGCAGGCATTTCTGCAAGTAATTTTAGAGAGGAGCTGCTTACTTGGCGTAGGGACTGCTGTGATCTTTGGGCAAACATGTAGTAACTTGAATGCAACCTTTCCCTGAGGCATGAACTTCTCCAATGCCCATAGCACCAAGTACTTGCTGCTTCTTTTTCCATCTATAGCTATCCCGACAGTTAGAGGAGGTGAAGGAGGCAAACCAAGAACATGTTCCTCTTCAATTATCTCACTTTGCTCCATCATAATCATCTGTGCCAGCAAATGAATGACCGCAACAACTCGTGTTAGCCCCACAAGCAGGTCAAAATCCAAGAACAGTAGGAGATCTTCACAAGCCAATAGTATTTGAAAGACGCAAGGAAAAAGGCAATCACTTCTTTTTTGTTGGAATCAGAAATTAAAGCGTCATCCTTTTAATAACAACAAACGCCAAAAAGGGATTCAATGTAAGAGATCTAACACTGCAATTCTACTTCCTTTTATTCCAAAGAAACCATAAACAGATCTATTCAGAATCAGATTATAAGAATCTAGAAAGTGAAAACCAAGAAAGTTAATTCAGATAAGACACAAGGGGGATAACATGCATCAGAATTGCTGGTGCTTCCTCCTTGGTCCTATATGTCAGTAAGTTATTTGTCCCCTCCACATCTTGTCTTAATTCAGCTCCCTTGAAATTAACAGTGCCATTGTAAAATCTCCAAACCTAAATTCCATGAATAATCCTCACACATCAAATAAGAGAAATTTCATCTCAGGAGTCATAACAACAACCAGAGAAACAAGGACCTGCAAAAATCTCTCAGAAATCAAACACTTACACATGAAGAGTTTCTTCTTTCAGACTCCAAACAAAAAGAAAAACTCTCAAAAACCCAGAAACATATACACAAGCAAATTACTAGAGGAACTGTCAAAACAAGAATCCGCAAGAAACTTACATGCATGCGTGCATACCGACAGTTTAAGGCAAGCTTTGATTTTTCTTGACTTTTTTGAGAAATAAAGAGAAACCCACCATTTCAATCTCTCTAACAAAACAATTCAAACTTCGGTCTTGGAGGCAGCATGTACCTGAAGTAGAAGAATTTTGAAAAAGACCAAACCTTTATTAGCTTAGGAGAGAGTAGGTGACCTCAAACAACCTAGGCTGCCCCATAACAATTACACCTTCTTGTTTTTTTTTTTTTTATTGTAAAATCAGGGGCAACTTGGCCGCGAAGCATTTACTTATATCCCTGAGAATGACTCTCGTTCTTCGTTCTATGAACAGTTTTTTTGAAGTAGACCTTTGACAATACAAATAATCACAAGTTGTAAAAGATCAATTTGTTTGATGCTTCTGTTTTTTTATTGTAGACAAAAGATTGTTTAACTTTGACTGTCTTATATAGGAGAAATCAAATCGATTGTCGAGATGTGCAGTGAATCCTTTGCCTTTGGGTAACTGATGATTAATCCATCATTAACCAACATTACTGTTTCTTCTGAAGAGGAGAGGACCCATCTTGAACGCAATCAAGGAATTTTTTAAAAGATTTTTCTAGAAGGATGAACACTTGTGCTTGCTGTCACCACTGTGAATCTTCTCACGCTTTGAATAATCACGTGTCTATTGCAACTACTTTCAACACGAGAAGAAAGAGGTTGCTGGGAAACTCCCTGGAATTTTACTGTAATTCAATTGTTTTAGACTCTATAATTTAATTGCTATGAACTTGGCTTTTTTTTACCTAGAATGTTTGACTTAATTTATACATATCATAATTAATTGTGGGCTCACTAAATACTCTTCAAACCTAACATGCAAGGTGAGATTTCTTGCACCCTTAGTGGGGCTCCATGCAAAAAACTTCAAAACTTCACTAGAATTGTATGAGTATTGGAATTGTTATAATCGAGTTTTAAAAAAATTTATTTAAAAAAAAAATAAATTTTATATATTTTTAATTTGTTTTAAGATGTTAATATCAAAATAAAATTTTAAAAATATTTTTTTGATATATAATTTTTTAAAAAAAAACTTAAAAACACAACCACGAACTCACTCTAAAAATCTGTCCTCCAGGCCATTATATAATTAATGAACCAGACAAAATATGATTCATGAATCACAAGAAAGCAAAGCTCAATCTACATCAACGCGTTTCCCGTACTGAAATTAATCTATTTCTTTTTGTTTTTATATTTTAACTTCAATTTTAAATTGTTGTTCTTGAATAACTATTTCTCCCATTTTTCTTAGTTTTCTGATTTATACTTTTAATAAATAGCTTCACCTTCAAACAAGCAAACCCTACTTGGAGGCTTTTTTCTTCTTTAATGTTTGGTGTGCTAATGTTGTTAATTGTGTGGTTTAAGGTAATATCAAACATGTTCTTGGTTTATTTAAAAATAAATAATTTTGAAAAAGAAAATTAAATTGTTTTTTTCACTGTTACTTTTAATAAATTAGATTATGTTTGAGTTTCTCATGTAAAAAATGTGTTCGTCCATTTGAATAGGAGTATATAAAACAAATATATGCTAAAAAATGATAATTTAAATGGAAAGATAAATTAAAAGATTTATATAAAGTATAAGGATCTAATTCTGCAAAAAAGGAGAATTTGGCCCACCAGAATTGAGTTATCCGGCGAGTCAACTCGAGGAAGATGATGGCACGCACGCACGAGGTTCATGAATTTGGTGGATGAGAGTCTTTTAATGCAGGATAGATAGGGTATCTTTTACTTGTCAATGAAAAACACGAGAACTGACCTCGTCAAGAGTCTTCTTCTTCTTCAGCTTTTTTTTCTTTATTTATTTAGTTTTAAAAGAATATTTAAAAGTGTTATTCTATTACATATTTTTTGTTTAAAAATAGATTAAAATAATATTTTTTATTTTTAAAAAATTATTTTTGACATTAATACATTAAAATAATCTGAAAATACTAAAAAAATTAATTTAAAATAAATAAATAATTTATTTAAAAAAAATAAATCCTAGATTATAAAAAGAATGTCCATTGTAACATGGATTTTATTTTTTTTTATCATCACTTTCAAAGACCAAACCATAAGTAAGAGTCCAGCAACTCGAGATCTCTAGCAACCACGCACGTACATGGTGGATTGAAGATGGCAGTGATAGAATTTAAATAAGGAATATTCTATATCTCTAATTGATTCCATTAACTATTGTCTTGAGCTAATAGTTTACTTGCAAATGGATTTTTTTTATTATAATTTTGGATTTTTCTTTAATTTAAAGAAAGATCCTAAAAATTAAAATAGTATTAACAAAGAACTTGGATGAAGATGATGATTTCATAAAAAAAAAAAAAAACTAGTTCCAGTGAAGAGAAAGTAATTTCTCAATAAGTTTTGACTTTATTTAAAAAAAAAAACTTTAATATGTCCTTCTATATTTTAGGTATAGTCTTCAATATATTCTTATAAATCTAATTGCTTTTAATTTGTCCATGTATCATCGTTCTTTTTCCAACATATCCTTGTGGTGGGTATTTTTATACAAATGGAACAGAAAATCAAATTTCATTTAATTTATTAAAAAATAATTGTGAAAAAAATAAATTTTAACATTATATAATAATTTATCTTTTTAATAAATTAGGTGGGGGTTTGGATTTTTCAAGTGATGATATTTTCATATCAATTTGTATGGAAATATCTATTAAAATGATAGAATGGAGAATGGATTAATAAAATGGTTTAAATGTTTTTTTATGTGTTCTCTAAAACATTAGAATAGATTGAAGACTAAACCTAAAATATATAATAATATATTGAAATAATGTTTTCAATTTTAAATAATTGTTGGTGTGATGATTCAAATGAAGCACCACAACCTCCCACAAAACCTTGTTTAACAATGATCATGGACCATCCATCGTTGTCATGGATCATTTAACAATTCATAAAAAATTCCAATTTCACATTTTAATTTAGTATTTTTATTAATTTCATGATCTCTTTCTAATTAATAGAATAAAGAAAGGAGAAGTGAGTAGTTGAGGGAATTTGACTGGGAAATAAGACTTTTTTAGAAGAAAAAAAAATAGTAATTAAATTGAGGATGATCAAGTCGAGTCAAGGTATTTTTTTAAAAAATTATTTCATGTAGTACAAGAACTAATTATTTAATTTTAACAAACTACAAGAACTAAGTTTCAATTAACCCTACAAGTATCAACATAATAACATTGACCGGAAAACTCCTTGATTATTAAAAAAAAAATAACAAAATTCATTTTTCTCTTTACTCTCAGCCATGGCCCAATTTTTGTTTGTAATCTATTCTTTTAATTAGTTTTATATTCTTTTCCAAGTTATTTTGTTCATTTTATTTTTAAAAAATAGAATAAAGAAAAAACAAGAAAGTAAATGGATAAATTTTTGTATAAAAAAAGTTGTTTAATAAATTTAATCAAGAAAAAAAGGGTTTTTTTTAAATTAAAAAAACTACTAAATTAAGAATAATTAATGCTAATCTAACTAATTAATTATTAGTCTAAGTACTTTGATTCTTACGTGTTGTCATTTGACGTGACATGGGAATATCCACTTGATGATCTCGCTTGATTGAGAGACAATGGCCCTTTATTATTTGGGTGTGTTGAAGAAGGTAATAAAGATTATTTTTTAAAAAAATATATATTAAAATATTTTTTATTTTTTAAAATTTATTTTTGATATTATTACATTAAAATAATTAAAAAATATCTTTTTTAAAAAATAAAAATAAAATTAAAAACGTTTGTTCAACAACCTAGCCAAACACCCCCTAAATAATCTCCCTTCCTTCTTAGTTTTGAAATTGATTTTCAATCCTTCAACAGTAAGAACTTTACCAGTTAGCCTGGTGATCTCTCTAGAGGGAAATGCAATTTCCTAACCGCTTCCTTCTGGTGCCCTTGACTTTGATAGTAGCTTTACCTAAAAAGAGTACCTTTGATCTTTATCTTGCCTTTGGCAATTTTGGGTTGTTTTAAAACTTGGACCAGTCTAGATAATAGATTTTGAACAACTGATTCAAAACTCGAATCCATCTAAGTTACAAAAAATAAAAAAAAATGGTTGATTTTGTGATCTAAATCCACTCGGGTCTAACTTGGTCAAAATTGAATAGTTAATCCATGGACCTCTTTTAAAAAATCAATTTATTTAGTGTGTATTTAGAGAAAAAATAGTAAAAGTAAATAATACATGCATAATTGTTCTATATATACTAGCATATTGGCTTGCACTTCTCAGCGATTCAATAATATTTTTTAAATTATAAAAAAATTAAAAATATAAAAATTATTTTAAGTGCGTTGAATCTCAATAGCTTTTGATTTGATAGCAAAGTTAAATCCAATATCCTTAAGTCTTGGGATCTGATAACCAAGATAAACCTAACAACTTTGAGTTTAGTGGTTATTCCAGACCAAAGATCTTAGGTTTGATGGCAATTCCAAACCTAAAACATTGGGTTTATGGCGATGCTTCATTATTTTTTTATAAAAAATATGTAAACTATACTTTAAGTATTTTAAATAGGAATCTTAATTGATTTTTTATTTTTATTAAAAATATTTAAACTACCCTTAAAATATCCTAAACATTAATCTTGATTAATTATTTTTATAATTTTTTTGTATTTGTTTTACAAAAAAACATATTAATTATCTAGAAGTATCATAAACATAAGTTTTATTTTTTTTATTTTTTACATAAAAAAAGTTTAAACTACCTTTAAAGTATGTTGAACATAAATTCTAATTATTGGTTTTTTATAAATTATTTTTATTTTTATAAGAAAACACATTTAAACTATCTTTGAAGTAACCTGCACAAAAATTCTAATTTATTTTTTTATAAATTATTTTTATTGTTTTAAAAAAAACATCTAAACAATACTTGAAGTATCATAAAGAAAAATTCTAATTAAGTTTTTTATAAACTATTTTTATTTTTTTATAAAAAAAACTCTTAAACTATCCTTAAATAACCTAAACGGAATTTTAATTTATTTTTTTATATTTTATAAAAAAAATATCAATGCAAATTGCATTAACAAATCAAATGAATTGAATTATTCAAACCTTTGGTATTCTTCATAATTTGTTTCCAAAAACAAATCAAATGAATTTCACTTTTATTTTTCTCGTGTATTAAATTATTTACTATTTAGATTATAAATTTGATTAAAAAGAACTTAAAGGATGGAGGAGGAGATTCTTGAACTACCATGGTTCATTTAATTGATCAATCAATTGTTTTATATTAAACTATAAGATCAAAAAATATAAAAAAAAATATAAAATTTAAGAGTATTGGATTTGATTGTAATATAGGATCCAAAAACGTCGAGTCTAACTACAACACCATACCCAACAATAATATTTATATTATTGATAATAATATTTAAGAGGAGATTCTTGAACTACCATGGTTCATTTAATTGATAAATTTAATAGTAATAGTAATAGGATCAATCAATTGTTTTATATTAAACTATATGATCAAAAAATATAAAATTTAAGAATATTGGATTTGACTATAATATAGGATCCAAAAATATCGAGTCTAGCTACAACACCATACCCAACAATAATATTTATATTATTGATAATAATATTTAATTTGTCTATTTAAATTCTTATCTTTTTTAAGCTTTTAAAAACATGGTGGTTTTTCTTCAATAGTAATAATAATATTTTTAAAAATTTATTAATGATGATAATAATAATATCAATAATTTTTTTTCAAATTTATCAATTATTTTATTAATAATATTAATTATAATAAAATAATAATATTTATAATAAAAATAACATTATTTTTAATATAAATAGATTCCATTATAATAAATATAATAGTATTGATAACACAAATAATTATATTTAGAAACTCAAGACCCAACAACATTGGATCATAACAAAGGATCCAATAGAATTGAGTTACAATAGATGACCCAAAATGATTGGGTCTTGACACGAAACCTGAAAGGTTTAAGTCCCAACAAAAAAACCCAAGTGAAATGGGTCTTGATATAGGAATCAAGAGACTAGGGTCCTAGCAAAGGACCCAAAGCCAATTAGTACTGTGTATGGAGCATTCAAGAAAATTATAATAAAAAATAATAATATATTTTTATATTATTATTTTTTATAATATTTTTTATATTAATATTTAGAATTATAATAAAAATAATAATATTTATAAACACAAGATTCAAGAATCATGGTATAACAAAATATCCAAAAGATTTGGATTTCTCAAGATTCAAGAATCATGATATAACAAAATATCCAAAAGATTTGGATTTCATTGTAGAACTCAAGTGAAATGAGTCCCAACACAAGACCCATAAGCAATGAGTCCTGACACCAAATATAATGATATTGGATTCTAACATATGATATAAGGCTAAGGCATTCTAAACAGGCATTCAGACTTGCTTGCCTGGATCTACAGTTATTCATGTGGATCTGGCCTTAACACTCAAAACAACCTCAGCGCTATATGTTTGTAGCCCCACATGGCACATAGATGTCCAGGGCTTGTCAACCCCAACGCTAAGTACCTACAGGTTGAGACTTGCAGTTTCACTAAAACTGGAGCTGAACATTTTTCCCTAACCATTTTTTTAATGCTACATGCATCTTGATGAAAAGATAATTCCACCATCTTATTGCAGTCTTTTCAACTATCCAGTAGGATACAATTTATAGTAATTTGTATCTATGTAAATAATAATAGGAATATTAATCTCTTTTTAACATATTGTATAATAATAAAAAAGTTTAGATGAATAACTATTCATTTATGAACCAAAAATGAATGAAAGTTTGGTGTATAAAATATTTTGGAGTGACATGCAAAAGTCATTTAAAAATTTAATAAATAGATGCAAATGAATTAACTTATCAAAAGTAACATTTCATTGTTTCTTTTTAGAAATTTGGATATATTTGTAAGTTTGTTGTTAAATATATTTTAAAATATTTTTAATTTTAAAAAAATATTTTTTTCATATTATTTTAAATATTTTTTTTATTATTTACACAGACTCAACAACTTTTAATATAAAAAATAGCAAAAATAACACCCCCGTAGCGTTACAATACAAATACTCTATATCTACGGAGTCATGATGACGGGTCCTGCCGCAGGTGTTCTGCATGAACCTCGGGTAATCAAGTATGAACCATTACCATAGGCACTTCGACGGAGAAAGAGGTTAAAGAAGCAATCCATAGAAAGATGGAGGAGTCTTACAGTCTCATGTGTACATGGTTCTGTAACAGTGATGGGAGAGCAATTCAAGGATACGCAATTTGTCAATAGATAGGATCTCATTTGTCTTAGTTACAAACTGCCTGACTGGCATGAAATACCAAAAGAAACTGCGAAGAGAAACCTGTCTTCTTCTTCTTCGATAACATCCCAGAGGGAGACCAGGTTGTGTGGTGCCATGAAGTCTTGATAATTGTAGAGTAATTTGAAGGGCCAGAAAAAACAAGAAGCAAGCTAGCTACTGGCCACCGAGACGATAGCCTCTTCCTTGAAAAGCCACTCCCTTGTTTGAATCAGGCTGCTGTGTTCGAGGGTTTTCTTGTGCTTGCCCAGCAGAGTTATTCCGGTTGCCATTGAGACGATAGCTCCTTCCACGAAAAGCAGTCCCTGCAGATGGATCACGCTGCACTGGGGCATTTACTTGTGTCCCCTCGCCCCAGAACGCTACCAGTTTGTGACTGTAAACTACATTAAGGACCTCAAATTAAAAAAAATAAAATAAAATTAACGTGATTGCCACCGATCAGTACGTATATGTGATTAAACTCAAGTGGATAGAGTAAAAAGTGATGAATATTCTTGAAATATTGAAGATATATATATATTAGACGATCAAGGAAGGAAAAGCGAAGAAGGATACACCCAAAAAGGGGTCTTGAAAATGAATTTTCCACCAGAGAGTGGATGAAGCACGGTAAGGAAGTAATAGAGATGTCCAGCAAGCATTCCAAGAATATCAGGCATTAGAGGATTGCCAAAAATCAAATCCAAAGCTAGCATTGCCCAGGGTAGATAGAATCCCTGTGTCAAACAACGAGTATTAACTAGTATAAGTTTGTGTTTAGTGTTCTGACAGCATTTACGGTTGCAATTTAAAAAAAAAAAAAAAGTTAAAAAAAACTATAAATAGTAGATTTTTTCAATGAAAAGCAGGTTTAAACAATGAGAATCAAACAGCTTTTGAAGTCATGATCATCGTAAAATCAAACGAAGACAGTAAAACAAGATTAGTGATTAATCATGGGATACCTTTAGGGACACCAGACCATATATGCTGACTTGAGCATTTGGAAACTCACGTCCCCAGATGTAGACTATCATGAAAACCAGAGAAACTCCCATAAATCCAGACCACAGAAAGGGAACAGCAGCCATCACCTAATTAATATAAATAAAAATTAATCACGATCATATTCTTTTTTTTTAAAAAAATATTGATTGTTATATATGTTGCATCTACTCTTTTTTTCTTATGAAATAATAACGTAGAAGGCTATCCGATTGAAAATTGCAAGTGAACAAAGGATTGTATCCTCATACTTCTTAGAAAATCATGATTCGTAAAACCAAAAAAAAAAAAAAAGAAGTTATTATACTGCTAAGATCGCAAGGATTAAATTATTATAATTTGGAATAAATTACAATAACTCTTTTGAGGTGTTATAAAATTGTAGGAACAGCTAAAAAATTCAATAGAAATCCTTTGTCATAACCAAAATATCCATAATAAATAATTAGAAAAAAATAGTCACTTTTTTTTTGTTTTAAAAAAATAGAGATAGAATATTAAAAAGAACCTCATAACAAAACTGTCAAAAATTAAATATTGAAATCAATATTTTTCATGTAATTAAAAAATTCATAAACCATTTTTTTTATATTCTTTCTCCGATTTATTCTAATTTGTAATTTAGCTATTTTATTTATATAGTAATTAACGAAGGGAATCTTGCATGTAAAGGAAGGTTTCTGTAGTATTAATATTAATCACAGCACATTTTCTCACATACCAGAAGTGACAGTGCCCCAAAGAAGAACATCCACACAAAATCCGCTGTTCTTTTGTCAAATGGTCCTCTCTCCAGTTGAACACCATATCTTGCTCTGTGTAAGTAAAAGAAATAGAAAGAAAAATAATTTGAAGCACGAATTGGGGGTGGGGGGAACAAAAACAAACTCGAGACTTTCTTACATAATTATAAGCCGAAATGCAAAGGGAAATGAAAATGGCCCCAGAAAGAAAAAATTAGTAATTAGCCTCCAGACCTGAAATAATCACAAGGAAATAATATTATTGACAAAGAAATTATTAATTAGCCAAGCTTCCAAGCATCGATTAGTGCATAATCAGTGGACATAATCACTTAATTGAAGCACAGCATTTTACCTGAAAACGTTTGATTACATCATCGTAGTAAAGTGCTATAGAACTGGCTTGGTAAAGACCAAGATAATAGGCCGCTGTGGTCATTAAGCAAGCCACCCCATATGTCTTGCTCACAGGTGGTAAGGACCGATAGTATCTACACAGAAATTAAATTAAGAAAACAAAATAAAATCTATGAACACAGGCAATCTTTAATTCAAGAAAGGGAAGAAGAAGAAGAAGAAGAAGAAGAGAGATTACTCTCCAGGAGTCGACATTTTCAATGCTGTTGGAGGTGGAATTGTAAACAGTAATGCGACATCTTCCTACGTTATGGTCTTATATTTGGAGTCTTCGATGGTGGCGGTGAGTCTTCCAAAGTGCAGGGACTTCGGAGTCTCCCCAAATGCCAAAAGTCAAGTCACCGTTGGAGTGTCCTTTGGGGTTTATGCCGTTGACATAAAAAATTTACTTTGGACAAAATCCAACGGCGATGGAACAAAAAAATATTGATGTGTGCCCCTTGCTGCATGTACATGGTTTCTTTCTTATTTTTTCTTTTTTTTATTTCTTTGAATATTCAAATCAGCTTTCATAAATCTTGATTAATTATATTTATAGATATCTTAACCAATTCTACAAAACTTAAAGTTAATAAATATATAAATATATAGATCTTCAACAGCCAGTAGCCCTGAAACTTACAAAATTTAAATTGACAATCTTTAAAATTAAACTACACCTCTCAAAGTTCATGTAGACAGTTTCTCTCTCTCTCTCTTTTTCTACAATTAAGCTTTCGTAAATTAATATACTTGAAATAAATATTATTTAAAGTTCAAATTTATAAAATACAATATAATTTTTAATTAATTATAAGATTACCATGTGGAACTGTGGTTATTACATGGTATTCAACCTCTATACACACCTACCTGTTTTATTGCAGGTTCCTTTGCTACGTGGAGATTTCCCTGTATCCTATTGCAATCCTATAGTTTTTTTTTTGACCTGCGATACAATATGGTGGGCTAAAAACCACCACCTCTGGCCTAAGTTGATGCCAGACATTTCCAAAGCTATGCTGTCAGGCCGACTGGTTGGGATGCGCTTCAAGTCGTCCAGCAAGTCAATTATGTAGCAAGAGAGCCATCTGAATAGTGTCCTGCTAAACTTCCGGGCCGGATGCAAACAAGCTAACAAGGCCTCGAAATACTTGTGCAGAAAGCTGGTGTGCTTGGAAGAGCTCACCATCCAAATTCCAGACACTCTGCTTGCCAAAAGAAGTAAACGTAAAAGCTGGCGTCTGCAGACAGCAAAGAGCATAATTAGAAGGTTCTTCAAAACACAAAGCGGGTGCAATAAAGCAAAGAATAATACCTTGTGATGCTCCACAAATTCAAAATTGAGGGGCTGTCCTCCTCTCTTTGCAAGCTGGGTAAGGTGCCTGTATGTTCCAGACTCAATAGTGATTAATGACATAAGGATTTGACACAGCCCCATGAAGAAAAAAAAAATGCAAACTGAAAAATAAGCACACATGATTTTAGGGCAGAGAGAATGATTTAAAAATCATTATATAGGAACTTCTTTGAGCAGCTTATATACCCAAGCATGACTTGATACAATGACACAGGGCCTGAACAAGAAACTTGCAGGGGGTATGAGGGCGGAACACAACAAAAGAGAACCAAGATGATCTACAGTTACACCTTTGCTTTAGTGAAATACATTGATTGCTGAAACACATGGCATCAAGGCCTCTTTCTTCCAGAGCTTTTTTCTAACTCCTCGATGAATGAAAACAATGGAGAATTGAGGGGGTGAAGATATTTGCCAGATTTGACATGTGCATCATAGTACTCAATAATCAATATTTTCTGTTCACATGCAAGACGATTTCCTTTTCTTCAACAGAATGTTAATAATAAAAAAAGAAGAAAGGATGCCATGTTTGTCCTCTTTGTAATGAGCTACATGCTGAACAATATGGTACATGAAATTAAATAAAAGAAATATTTGAAAAAATATTGGAGACCGAGAGGTTTCACGTTACCATAAATATAAAGCATGAGGGCAGTCTCTAATCATTAAAAGATGAAGAAAACCATCTGAAAGATGTGCATCGGCCACCAAACCATCGGGTGCTCTTTCATTTCTGTTGGAAATAATGGCAGCACCAACACTAAGAAATTTACCTTTAGATCTCTGCCATCTAGTTTCACCCAAAGATGAATAAGGTGTTGAACAGGGACTTCTCTTGGACATATAATCTGATTTCGTGCTGCAGACACCACAGTTTGTGCGGCAAACTACTCTTTCTGATTTTTTAGGACCCTGCCTTTTTCTTAGCCCACTAAACAGTTGATCATTCTCAACAGTTGGATTTGTTTTTTCGGATTCAGTTTCTATGTATGCTACTTCTGCTTCATATGAGCTGAACACCTTAAAGATAATTCCAATCAGAAAAGGTAAACAAATTATTTACATCAAATCTATTGGTATAAACATTAAAAAATTCCAAAAGGCTGAGGTGTCCCATGTATGAAAAAAGTGGAGGAAAATGGACCTAGAGTATCAAAAAAGGACATGCACATTGGCACACCATTTCAGTAATGGTTATTTTGAGTTGCAAATAAACCCAACCCAACCATGCATAGCTCGCATGAAATTGGGTTTAAAGCAGAAACCAAAGCATCTGAGGGTCCGTGCCATGTCACATTTCAAACCCATGTATTTGCTTAAGAAAAAAAAGAACATCCCATGGATGTAGAGTAATTTTGTTTTTCCTAATGGAGTAATTTTCTAAAAAAATAAAACAGAAAAAGAAATTATTATGTGTACAATCAACTTTATCAGTACAGTGATCCTTCCAACTTTAGCTGCTGTCTCTACTCAAAGCAGAATAAAAAAACACCTTATAGAACACAACAAAAAAAAAGAAAAAAAAGAAGAGCCAACGGAAAGAATTACCTGTGTCTCAAAAACACTTTTGTTCCAGCGTAATCATAACGTTTGGGGCCCATCCAGCGATATTTTTCACTTTCAGCAATGACATCTCCATAAAACCCATACCTGATGACAGTGGAATGATAATTTCAAGAAACTGTCCAGGCAGCATCTTAAACGACTACAAAAATAATAGCACTGGTGTTTTTCATCACTCTTTAGGCCAAAATTTTAAGAACTGGTGCGAACAGGGAAGGAATTACATAAAGAGACAAATGTAATGCAAACATACAAGATAGATGAAAATGGTTAGCTGTATTTGAATGAGGATCAATCACAATTTAACCATCAAAAACTTTTAAGAGTGAAAATAGATGTGCAGTTAATGGTAGAGAGTCTCGGACATTTATTTTCATGGTCAGAGGAAGGAAGAAAATGAATTAATTGCTGATATGATACTCTCTAGCCTATGTTTCTGCTTGATCTGGGAAGCATGGTGAACATAAAGAATGAAAGCTATTTGTTACAGGCAGGCAGCATAATCTATTGCATGATGATTCATTAACACTTAATATGCTCATGTAATAGTGAGTGAAGTAGAAAACTACCCAGCAAAAGAAGCTGCATAGCGTACATAAGGTTCGATATCAGACGCTGTTGTTGTTTTCCATCTCACAACTTGAGCTATATCAAGGCACACCTTTTTTCCAAGGACAATGTTCAATGCAGATGTTATAGGATCTCGAGTTCCAGTTGTACTGCAAAGAGAAATGCAATACGAGTACAAAGGTGCATTACAATGGTAGGGAAAAAATAACCAAATGTATCACTGATACCAGATATACACGTTTAACTTTTACTGACCCATCAACAGCAAACCGCAGAGCACTAATGCAGTCTGTAGGATATAAAGAGTACTAAAAGAAAGACAGGTGCTAGAGAATAGTGCATGTTATATACAAACAGCATAAAAACAATAGTCATTTCACAAATTCGTATTTAACACTTTAAGGAATGTTGAAGATTTCTGTAAGTATAAATTGACCAACCCAAGCACATTTAACCAAGTTAATTTAAAGTTAAATCCACAAACCCTAATCTTGGAAGTGATGCTTTCCTTCCTCCGGTCCCTCACAAAAATAGAGCACAAATAACAGTCATCTCCATTCTTCATTCCCATTTAATGCTCTTGTTTCTGATGACTTCTCTTAGCATGATTGGTGACAGGAGCTCTCTAGAATTTATTTTATTAGATTTCTGATATCAGAGTCAATTAATCTAGGGCCGTGTTGTTAGCATGCGACTTTATCTAAATTTTAGCCATTATTCTACTGTAATTTCTGTTTCCTACTGTTTTCCTCTTCCCACCCTATGTCAATCAGTCATTTGTATCAGTAACTGATTAAGCACAACTGTCCTTTTCAAGTTTGACAGTATGCTAGGACCATATTTCATGTAATGCATGTTGATCAGGCTTTCTGTAACACAACTTTGAAACTTTTTATGTTGATTTATTTAAGTCTTTTCAACAACACTGCATATGCTAATTCTTAAAGATGTCAAACTTAGGAAATGACAAGAACTCCATAAGCAAATGCTATCAAATAAGTTTAGAAATTTCACACTTTAAGGGAAATAAGACAAGGAATTACCACATCACAATAGCATCGGTTGAGCCAGCAGGAATGATTCCAAATCTAAACTGTTCACCTGGAAGGGGAAACTCAAAATCTTGACCTGTCAGTTGCAACAGCAGCACAAGAACTGTTGTTAGATATCAGGTATCACTACATGTATGTGTACACATGAACACTCCAAGCAAGTGCTCCTATCAGCTCCTTATTCTGGTAGCTATTCAAATGCGAGAAACAATTATAACATGCTATATTTTTATCAATTTAAATACCCAAGTCTATAAGATTAGAGCTCACTAACCTATGTTGCAAGTACCATCTTCTGTTCCTGTAATTCAGAAGATCCAGTAATACACAAGATAAACAGATATTGCAACTAGAAATTTACTAGCATGAATGTATGGTAAACACGTACTGAAATAGGCTTGTCTCATTCCATTATAAACTGAATTTGATAAAAGGGGAGAATGGTCTTCATTTTGACAAGTAGCTTCAGTAACTCTCTCATTTGGATTGCGAAACAAACCACTGCCACTACTCTGATCAGAATGAACAATATCTGAAGGGGATGGTGGCCGAGGAGCTTTATGTCTAGATAAAAGAAACCCATTGAGGATCTCATTGAAGAAACCATCACCGCCCTGGGACCAAAGTGATCAGCAACAATCAATAACTAGGAAATAACTTGCTGCTTAGCACTACCAAAAAAAAAAAAAACACAAGTATAAATGAATTAGAGGGATCTTGATGCTTACAACAGCTATAACACCATTATATGATTTAAGTTCGTTGTTTGCAGCAGATGCCATCACATCAAATGCATGTCCTGCCCTCTCTGTCACAATCACCTGATCAAGACATTGAACAGAAAGTTAACTCAGGGCATACCAATTTGCAAAGTCATTAGATAGCCGACTGTAGTTCGGATTGTTGCGACCCTAACTTGCATCATGGGAAAAAAAAATTATATCCAGCACATATTAACTGATATTACATGCACATGATTCAACATCTCACCTTCGGCTTAGTCAAGAGATAATTAAATATGTTTAGCATTACCTTTGTTTTTACATTAGCACGCGAGAATATGGGAGCCACCATTTCCCAGGTTCTACGTCCACTGGCTTTGCCACTCATTGGATGAATGAAAACCTAGTCAATAAGAAATAAATTCTGGAAACATTTTTACAACTAGTTTATGCCTTCAGCCATTAAAAACATATCCAAAAGCACAGAAGACATAATAATGAACCTATTGCAGCACAAACCAGAAGATTCTTTGGTCTCCCTATTTCTAAGTTCAGAGAAGCGTTAATTCGATCAACCCATGTCTGACATGTCTGCAAATCCTTGTGACCAAAACTGTACCCGGCAAGGACCCAAAGACAAGGCTGGCCTCGAGACTTTTGGAAGCTGTGCACTGTAAAGCGATACATCTGTAACATCATTTAACAAGCAAAGCACATCACCTATATAATTACTATATTATTAACAAAAAAACATCAGACAAGTTAAGGAGAAAACCAAAACAAACCTCAGATCCATGAGAGGCATGACCCTGAAAACACTGTTCAGCTTCGGATTGACGTGAAACATTAATAAAACCATAGTTTATGAACTCCACACCATACACATCAGAAAATCTGATCTCATTTACAAATTTTTGAACAGGTTTAATTCCAGAAGTTATTGATCCGTCCTGTTCAATCAAATGTGAAAATAAAAAAACCAACACAAGTTAGGATGTTCAATTCTTTGATCATAAAAATCCATTATAACAAATCAAGCCATCATTGAAAAACCAAGGATTTAGCACAAAAAGATTCAATCTTTCTCAGCTAACAAGTCTTACATCAACCAAAACTACATTTTACAATCACAAAAAGATCAGAAAAAACCACATTAAACTGTCAAATCCACTTCAAGTGTAGGTTCACTTACATTATACGAGGAACCAAGAAATTCCAAAGACAGCCCATCAGAATTGAGAGTGAGAACTACATCCCCAACATTTTCTAACAAAAGGGTCGACTTCAAAACCGATGACGATGCTGAAGATGTTGCTTCTCCGACATTACCTGACTCCACAACTTTCGGGTCTGATTTATAATCTTCTCTGTTTATCTCCATTAAAACAGACTTGAATATGGAAAAGGAAAAGGAAATTCAGAAATAAATATTTACAGATTCTCAATCAACTTTACTATCCCAGATTTTTTTCTGGCTTATCACTTACGAATTAAAGAATCAAAAGTCAGGCAAGTATACTAGGTTGGATTTTCAAAGTTCACATTTTTTGCTATTATTAGAAAATGTTTGTTTTTTAAAAAATAGTTTTTGAAAAATTATATTTTAAATTTTTTTATATTTATTTGTTATTAAAAAGTTGGTTAATAGAAAATATTTTTAGTTAACAAAAAATACTTTTTAGTCAACAAAAGAAAATAGTTTCTAATTAACAAAAAATACTTTTCAGTCAATAAAAAATATTATTTTCCAATCAAAAATTTTTTTTGCTTAGTTTTCAAGAAAATATTTTCTTTTTTAACTGTGTTTGTTTTTCGGAAAGTGATTTTTAGAAAAACACTTTCCAAACTTTTTTGTGTTTGTTTTCAAGAAAATCATTTCCGGAAAATCAATTTCCAAACTTTCTTGTGTTTGTACACTTTCCAAACTTTCATGTGTTTATTTTCTAGAAAATGGTTTTTAAAAAATCAATTTCCAAACTTTTTTGTATTTGTTTGCTGTTAGGAAAGCTGGTAAATGAAAAACATTTTCCAGTTAAAAAAAAAATTAGCTTGATTTTTAGAAAAGTGTTTTTTCTGAAAAATTTAGACGGAAAACATTTTTCAGAAATTGTGAAAAATTTAGAAATATCATTATTTGTTGATTATATCAAATTTGATTCTCAATTTTTTGATTGCTATGTATATTTTGTTTTGAATATTTATTTTTCAATTTCATTTCTTAAAATTTAATTTTTATATTAACTTTGATCCTTCATTTCAATTAATTTTTATATACCTTAATTAATTTCTTTAATTTTGTCTATTTTTTAATTAAAAAAAAGAGGTTTTGTCTATTTTTTTTTGTTTTTAGTTTTTTAAATGGTCACGACACTTTATTTCTTTTTAATTATATCCTTTAAAATTATATTTTCATAACAACCGTCCCGGATTCGAGCATCTTAGGTTAGGTAATTATATCAAATTTAAGATACTTGGATCTAATAATCATACCAGCAACAAATAACACATCGTCTATTTTGTCTAGATTCTTATTATTATGATAACCGGAAAATCAAAACTTATGCTCTTTTGATCCAAAAACTTGTTCTGCAATCTATTTTTTACCCAAAACACCTATATAAACACCCTAGAAACCATAAAAAACTCATTAATGACCTAAAAAATTCAAAAAACCAAAATCAATCAGAAAATAAAAAATGAATCCGAGTTCAAATCTGTTTTTTTTTCCACAAACTTTTAAGGTACAAAACACCTAATATGAACTCTCTTCATCAAATAGAACAATTTGACACAAAAAATCTCTCATTTTGATGGCCTAAATCGATGCCAAAAATAAGTTTTTTTTTTTACTGCTATAATCCTGGGACCTTTCTCTCTCTCATCTCTCAACCAAGCACAAAACATAACAAAAGTAAATCTTTATACCAAAATAAAATTGGAACAATTTCAAGAAACAAAAATTATATAATTTACGTGATTGTTTAAGTTAGAGGACTAAAGTTAATATTTTCAAAACTTATAGTACATCACTCATGTTTGCCATATTTTTCATTTCAGTCCCCCCTTTTACAATCCCATCATTTTATAAGAATTTAAAATTAGTTGCTCCTTAAATGGAACTTCATTGCTCAAAAACAAAGTTTAAGGACCAAACTGGAATTTTTTTTGTATAATGATAAATGCCCGGTAAAAGTCCCACACACTTTAGAGTATAACTAGCCTCTTTGTATGTGTTTCGTAATCGGTGAATAACAAAGTTTTGTGAAATAAAAAGCAAAAATAAAATTAATATTTAGAGGTATTCTAATGTAGGGCCAACACCTAATTGGGTCCTGCACTGTGCAGAACCTAAACAAGTATCCAATGTACTAGACCTAGCAGCAGTGGGTCCTGTTGACAATTTGGACTAATAACAGGGTGCAGTGTAAATGGGTCTTGGTGAAAATAGAGCCCAACAAACTCAACAAGAGTGGGTCCTGCTGGTAGTTTGGACGTATATGAATCTTGGTGAAACCAGGGCCCAACCTTATTGGATCCTGCTTGGTACTATACTCACCTCTAGTGGACAGTCACACTCACTATCATTAAATCTAGTGGTTAAGACATACCTTATAAACTTGAGTTTTGGTAAAATGACCCACTAATTTGGTATCCATAGGATTGAGTTTTGGCAAAAGTACCCACTAATTTGGTACCTTAGGATCCAGCATCACTGGATCATGTTTGTTAGAAGGACTCAGCATTGATAGGCCTTATTAGTAGGGTGGTCTTAATACTAGCTTGAGTTTGGCGAAGCAGATATTAATTTAAAGAGAAGTAAAAAATTAAAATTTTTGAAATTTTTTAGAAAAAATATAAAAACATGGAAAAAAAATTTGAAGCAAAGGGGAAAATGAAAAATTTGAAATTTATGGAAAAAATATAAAAGCATGGAAAAAAATTTTGAAGCATAGGGGAAAATGAAAATTTTGAAATTTATTGGCAAAGAAATAAAAGTTTAAAAGTGTCAAAAAAATTTCAAAGAATTTTCGAAACACAAAATGAAATAAAATAAAAAATAAAAAATTGTTTGGGTTTGATATCCCAGCTAAATATAATATTAATATAATTTTTTTAAAGAAAATAATATAAAAATTTTTAAAAAAATTTGACACGGAGAATAAAACATGCCAACATGAAACAGGAAAAAAATTATTTCAAAAGATGAAGTTAATTGAGATAAATCTATTTTGAGTGCCTCTTGGAGTGCCGGTTCCAAGCACCTGTGGTTGCTTGTAAGTTCGGAAGCCAACCTATTGAAGGAGAAATGCTTATGCTGTTAAGGAAGCAATCACGAAGGCAAGCAAATTGAGATATTCCTTTTATATATTTTTCTCAGGTTTGGCTTTGCATCTATACACAATCTCAACATATATTTTTTTTTTAAAAAATAATACAAAAACATAACAAAAATATTAATTTGAAATAAAAAAATAAAAAAATTGCTATATAAAAAAACTTAGATTTTAATTTCAAGGCAAGATCAATTATTATTATTATTATATCAATTATTACTATTATTAACTTGGATCTTACTCTTATTTAGTTATATGGTTGTGTGTTAAGTGTACCAGACTCATAGTTTTAAAAATAGATGGAAAAAAATTTAATTTTTTTAATTTTATCCTCTAATTTTGTCATATTAAAGTTGATGAATTTCACAATAAATTTTTAAAATTTCATTAATATTTTATTGTCTTTAGACTTTTTATGTTATCTCTTGCTTTTCATCCCCGTTTGCATAAGAATGAATACTTTGATTCGCATTCCGAACAAGCATGAATACAGCCTCTATAAAATAACTTTCATCTTGAAAGTTTTTTGAATCAGAATGAATGATTTTATGTCTATTACGAGTTCTTTCTCTTGCATTGAGACCTATATTTTTTTTTGTTTTAAAATAATATTTTTTAATTTCCATATAATAATTAATAAATTTGGAAAAATTATTATTATTAAATTTAAAGAATGCAATTATTACCACCGAAGAAAAGTATTCATTTTTTTAAGATTTAAAAATATAATTTAAAGTATTCATATAAAAATATAATTATTTGTGTTAATTGATAATGTAAATAATCACAGTAGTGAGTTATTCAGTGATGGAGAAAGCTGTGGTTTTGAGGGGTGAGGATTTTCCTCCATTGAAGACAACATTGCTTGCTGTGTCTAGACCAAAAAAAAGCATAACGATGGTTTTAAGTGAGGAGTTAGGTAATGAGCAGAGGGATGGAAGGAAGGTTCGCGACCTTTGACAAGGTAAGCATAATGGTGGTTTGAGTTAGAAACAGAAGTAGGCGTTAAGTGAGGAGTGAGGCAATGAGCAGAGGGATGGAAGGAAGGTTCGCTACCTTTGACAAGGTTGTATTTAAGCATTTTTTAAAATCATTTTAATTTTATTAGCTTGGGATTTCATATCAAGTTGATCCTTTGCTTAACAACCGCCTGTCGAGCAGCTTTTCTTTTTCCTTTTCTTTAACCGGACATTCATACCAGCTTGCTGGACCCAACGTCATTGAGTCCTGGTGAAAGTTATTGGGTTCTATTGACCAAATTCAATAGTATTAGATCTTGCTACAGCAGTCAAAGCCAACAGTGTTGGGTCCGGCTACCAAAGCTAGACCTAAAGCATTAACTTTATCAGCTTAGGATTTGATACCAAGTTGATGCTTTGCTTAAAATCACCTGTCAAGCAGCTTCTTCCTTTTCTTTTCCTCCACTTGACATCCATAGCAGCTTGCTTGGGTCCTGTTGGGGGTAGGACCCAACTTAAACGGGTTCAGCAAGATCCAATATCATTGGATCATAATAAAAGCTATTGAGCCTTGTTATAGCAACCAGACCCATCAGAGTTGAGTCAGCCAGTCCCAGCAACTCTAGTGTGACCTCTACCCCTAGCAACCAAAACGCCAAGAATTGATAACCTGATCTAATTAATTGTCCCCTTTGCTGCCACATCACTCTCATTTTAATGGTAAAAGTCAAATAAACCACTCCAACCGCAATGCTTGACTATGACTATAAACACAGGAAAGTAACCCCCCTCCCCCAACTCCCCATACATTTTAATAAATAGCAAAACAACTGTATAAGTCTACAATGTATACATGTATAATAAGTCTATAGTGAATTATCTTTAAGTCGACAACGCATCCATGTACAGTGGCTTCAGTCTACTGTGAACTGTATCTTAGTTCACACTGTATACATGTACAATGAGTCCACAGTAAATTATCTTTAAGTCCACGATGCATCCACGTACAGTGAAAAACCCACGCTTATATATATATATATATATATAAAGCAAGGCACTTGGAGGTAAGATTTCTTCGTTACTTATAGTTGCTTTGCTTGCATCCACACATAATCAAGGGATTGGTTACTTTTCCTGGAAAAATATGAAAAGAAAACAGTGTGCCTATAGCAAGCAATGATTACAACATTACACATCTTATTGTTCTGATTTTCATAGAACAATCATGTCTGGGGCAAAATTTGAGTACTTCCAAAGACA